GGATGCTCAATAGCAGCCCCAGAGCGTCGTACGATTCGGCAGTAAGCGTCCTGGTGAGGGTTTTGCCCAGCGCAAATGTGGGTTCGAAGATGTAGTTGAACTGTCGCGACACCGCTTGCAGAGACAATGGCGGCGAGAAGAAGGCGGCTAAGAATGTGTACTCCGCGGTGGCGTTGTCGATGAGTGCCAGGTTGAAGTTCCTGAAAGGCACCTCTAGATAATGTGTTGTCTGGTCTTCCTCGGCCAGGTAAGAGGAGATCGCTGCGGCGTTCCCCGATTTCAGGAGATCAATACGCCTTCCCAAGTTAAAGGCATCATGAGGCGGCCCAGCTGGTTTTGTGGCAGACAACACCGTGGCTCTCCGCGTGGGCTCCTCGTGTCCGAGAACGTCGTTCTTGTCGAGAATGTGCAGCTTAAGCTTTTCCAAGGCCCTTTGATATCGTCCAAATTGGTTTGCGTAATACCATCGCATGGTATTCATGTAAGCCTGACTGATCTCTTCTGCGAGAGTAGCATGATGCTTGTGTAAGAAGGTGTATAAGTCTTTGAACTTCAAGAAGTTCTGCTGTTGGATTATTTGGGCGTTGATGTGAGGGGATCGTAAGGCCTTGATCTGGGCGACAATGAAGTCCCGTATCCGCTCGACGGCTTTCATTGTCAGTTTTTCCAATAGGGGACCAAGGTCGGCCCAAGCCTTGCTCTCTCCCTGGTTCGAAACCGACTTTTTGTATGCTGAAGCTCGTTTGTCCACTTCCGCTAGCATCTTCACCCATGTCTCGTCGATTTGGCCCTCGGATATCTTGGACACCACATGGGGAGAGACGCTGAGCTCCTCGACAACTGGACCAAAAGCTTTTTCGACTGCTTTTCGATTGTCTAGCCTCACGTTCATTGCCGCGGAGCGTGATTGCAGGCTTTCGATATCTGCGGAGACGGCCGCGAGGTCATTACGGAAGCTTGTCAGATTGGTCTCTACTGAGCCTAGAACCCCATCGCATGCTGCAATTGATCGATGCAAGTCCTCGAATTGGGCTTTGCTCGCTTCAACTGAATTCAAAGATTAGCAATCTGCGAACAGTTGAGCCAGCCAATAGGGAGCTCATACACTCCTCTGCGGTTTGCCGCCGGTAGCTATCCGCATCGCTGCTATCGATCTCATCGGAGCTTGCAAGCTCTCGCAAGCTCAGCCCTTCGAATTGGAAGTCTAGTTCAAGGTCATTTTCGCTTATTGTGATTGTTGTTGCCTCAGATGTGGGCGCTGTATCTAGGATCTGGCCCAAGATCTCGACCGAATCTGGTCCGTCGTAGGTTGTCTGGGACTGTTTCAAGCCTGAGCCATTGACTCTCCGTGAAGCTAGGAAGGAGTTCGAGGAATCGTTGGAGACGAGTGAGAGTTGTGAGCCTCGTGGTGTGATGCCAGGTCGTTGAGAGGTCACATAGGGGCTGCTGGAGGTTCGTCGCGGAAGGGGAGAGTATGGTCGGCTGCCAGGCTGCGACGCTGAGGGAGACGAGTTCGACTGCGCTGCAAGTCGATCAAGCCACATGGTGGACTTGTGGTATGGAGAGGCTAAGAAGCGATGTGGTCGACAGGACGGAGCAACATGTCATCGAGGGTTCGCAAATCGCACGGATGATGTTGTAGAATCGAGAGGGATCGGCGTCTGGCTTCTTTGAAAGATGTACACCTGTGACATTGGTTACCTACCTTACCCCCAGGAGGCAGTTGACAAGGCTGGACGGCCTTAGGAGAGCGACGTGTTCTCATTGGATGAGCGACCAGTGACAAGCACCAGCCACAGGATACGTATCCACGGGAGCTTCCTGTGGCGTGGCAGGGGTCGGGCCCTTTGTCTTCGAGGGGTCGAAGTCTGGAAAGTGCGGGGCAGAATTGTGAGTGAAGGCCGGCGGCAAACAACCTGGAAACGTGCGGGGCAGGACTATGGATGGGCAATTGAAGAGCAATTAACGGCCCATTGATGCGTCTGGTATGGATGGGAGAGAGGCTGCACACATGTCGTGCAGAATCCGCGACATCTCCAAGGTAATCGTAGCTCAGACTGCTGGGACAGTGTCGGAGGGAAGCTCCTGCATGCTACAATGTGAATGCATATCTTTGGGCGCGAAGGGGTGCGTAAACCTCACGGAGCTCTCGTCTTAGATACAGGAATTGGTTACGGAAGAACCTGCCACAATGTCCGGACAATGATATCCCTGAAGATGTCTACCTTGCCTAGTCGGGTAGGTATCCAGGTACGACAGCTTCCCGTCAGGTTGTTCGAAACTCCGGCGCATACCGTCAAAATCCATTCCTCCAGTCCGGACCTTCTCTTGCCAAAGTGGGAGGCTAATATCGGAGGTCAACGAGGATGGCAGGTAAGGCAGAGAGAAGCAAGGGTTACTGGCCCGCGAGGTTTTGGCATGGCGGCATTAGCGCCCAAAAAAGGTTGTTGCCACAGGGCCGGTGGACTGTGCCCATGTGCTTCATTGTCCTTCGGGTAACCCTGTGAAGGGGAAATCATTCTGACCGATTGAGTCTTTAGGAGACGGGAGGGAACCTGGAAACCCTCAAACATCCTCGCCGACCTGGCCTGGCGTGTCTGGCTGGATCAAATAGGGGGCATTGCACAGGCGGCCAGCGACCAAAAAATTGAGCAAGCGGCGTCCAGTTGTTGCGGGATAGGAGCTTCAGCTCCTACGCGGTGTGGTGTCTTCGGCGTAGGGAAGGTAGGAAGGCCCATAAGTAGATGGCAGACGGAAGAACCTAGATGGGTACTTTGTACACCGCAGAGTCATCCACTGGCGACAATGTCACTCGAGGAGGGGTCTGACAGGTTCAATCTGTGAAAAGAAAGGGAAGAAAGCCCACACTCCACCTTTTTTTCACAGCGAAAGTGCTCCCTGCACCTGTCCCACACAACGCTTGGGAAGCCACGGACAGAGACTGAGAGGGGCGCGAATCTGGGCCTAGGAGTGAAAAAAACCAATAATAAAACCAGGAAAAAAATTATCTACTCCCGCCTCGCCTTCCTTTTTTCCCCTCCATTTCCCCCCTCTGCCCGCTCTCTTCCTTTCACAACTCTCCCCCCTCAAAAAAATATCAGCCGTCTTTTGCTGGGTAATTCCGCCTGTCGACATCTTCCCTTCGATTTTTTAGACATCTTCCAGTCAATCCTTCAAAATGTCCAACGACGACGCCCAGGTGAGTCTTTTGCGACAGCTCTATTACCCCCCTCCGTGCCCTGTCTCTTTTGGTGGTGGTGGTTGTGCTGGTCGAATGCGATCGATGTCGGTTGCTTTGGCGAAAATCGACCACCCCGCATCCACATTGGCGAGAGAGCCCCGCGGATGCTTCAACGCACCACGGCTCTGCACAGAAACTCGGGCAACACACGACGCATACGAGCATCAAATACCACACCAATTTCGATCACATCCTCCTGCCATCATCATTGTGCCGAACGACGCACATATTTTGGAGTTGGCCAAATCGCTAACGCATCATCTCCAAACAGCATGAGATGACCTTCGAGTCCACCGACGCCGGTGCGTCTCTCACCTTCCCCATGCAGTGCTCTGCTCTGCGCAAGAACGGTCACGTCGTCATCAAGGGCCGCCCCTGCAAGATCGTCGACATGTCTACCTCCAAGACTGGCAAGCACGGTCACGCCAAGGTTCACTTGGTCGCCATCGACATCTTCACCGGCAAGAAGCTTGAGGATCTTTCTCCCTCCACCCACAACATGGACGTCCCCAACGTCTCCCGCAAGGAGTTCCAGCTCGTAAGTTGCCACAAGTCTTGTCACACCTCCGAGATGGCCCTTGTATTCTAACAGGACACCCTCCATAGATCGATATCTCCGACGATGGTTTCCTCTCCCTCATGAACGACGATGGTGACCTCAAGGACGATGTCCGTGTTCCCGACGGCGAGATTGGTGAGAAGATCAACAAGCTCTTCAAGATTGACGAGAAGGACACCAGTAAGACTTCCCACCCCTCATGACGACAAGCTCGCCGAGCAACACAAGAGACGTCATAACTAACTGAGAACTACAGACGTCGTCATTCTTACCGCCATGGGTGAGGAGGCCGCCGTTGAGGCCAAGGAGGCCCCCAAGCAGGGTTAAGCACTGCAACTCTACCATATCATCAGACAATGACTTCCACAAGCGCTCAATTCAAGCGGCCTTGCTGGCAGATGTTGGCAGACTGGGGACATTTCTTGCGATATTTCTTGGCGCTTCGAAATTAACGGTATCCCCGTCAGTCGCTGCGTAGGCTATATCTGGACAGGACTTGATACTGGGTACGCGAACTTGACAACTGCAAGACATGTCGCACGACTTTTTTCCTTTGTTTTGTCTGTCCCACAGACTCTTAACGACGATCAGACTAGCAATGGGATAGGTGAAAAAAATGGGAGAGCCTCGCGGTGGCAGCAGATTTGTCCGATGGAAAAGCGGTACATATCTCCACCACGCGGTCTCTGTTTTTCGTTCAAACTCTACGTACAGTTTTAAGTGAAAGCGCCAAATGTGTAATGTCCATAAAAGTGATTTGAGTACAAGCTGCATGCTGCTGCTCCTACACCTGTACGCCATGCCTCGTTTATCTACGTACAAGACCCGGGAAGCTTTGATCAGCTCCTTTTCGTGATGACGGCGTAACTATGTCTAGGCTGACTATCGTGGATCGTGAGTGTGAGTGAGCCGAACTCAGACGTTTAAGCTACTTCACACTATAATGCAACTTATCTAAAACTAAAGGCTTGAAATGCGTTTCCATAGTCCCCAGTGATCACTTTGAATTGTTGTTCCGAGGATAATATAACACGGGCGCTTTATTGTGACGAACTGCCTGCCAGGTTCCGCCTGCCTGGTGAAGGTACGTCCCAAGAAACGGGCACCGCGCACTGTCAAAAACTTCACCAATGCGGTGACGCTTTTGCCTGGATCAACTTCTCAACCAAGTACGACCAACATATCATCAGCCAGAGCACCATGGCCCCGGAGAGGGATCTTCACAAGTTTCCAAAAGGAGAACGCTGTGAATTCTGCGGTTCTCGCAAATGGTACCTCGAAAATGGTTTGAGATTCTGCGCTAAGGAAGGCCACCAGCTTCAAGTTTGTCCAAGCCATGCTCTGCATCATCTATGATGAGCCGCAGCTCACACTTCAAACCAGGGATATGTTGAATTTGACCTCGGCGATGAGGATTTCGGACAGAAGGGTCGAGTAGCTCGGAAGGAGAAGCAAACCAAGGAGCGGATCAGACGAGTGCTCACCGGCCAACAAGCACGAGATTTGTATCTTGAGTGCCTGCAGCTTATCCTGAGAGAGCAGGTAATTTGGCTGGTCGCCGCAAAGGGGCATAAGCCGGAACTAGAAACAGTTGTCCGCGATCTTTGGGATCTCCGCATCTCCGGAGCTGCGACAGCTGTTCAGGATGACTCGGCCTCGGAGGGGGAGCCCTCCCTATTCAGCTCGCAACTCGACCTCGCCCAGGATGAGGAACACCAGTCTCGGAATCGAAGAGCACAGGGCTGGAAGGGAGAGAATGGGAGCGAGTGGCCGGCACCCCGAATAATTGACACATTGGGTCTTTGCTTCCTGGGGTGCATGTTGCTGAGGATACCCACGCGCATTGGTGATCTTTGCAAATGGGCGAGAGGGGGAAGCATCCCGTACAAAGAAGCTGTTGGTACTATCTTGAACCATATCTGAATGCTCCCTAACCAGTCATAGTACCGCCAGCTACCTCAGGAGATGCGTGATCGGTTGCCAACTTGGTACACGACACCACTCAAGTCGACAAGCCTAGCTGCTTTCGATAATGGAGAACTGCACGCTTCAGTCATGAATCTGGCCTTATCATATCACCTCAACTACAACATGATCTTCCCACCGCTCAACGATGTACTAATGACATTACAGTATGCACGTGAGCTGGGCCTGCCTAGTAGGTCCTCTAGCTGCGCCAAAAGATGGACTCGACTGACGACTCCCAGTTGAGACGGTAGCGATTGCGCGCCGCGTTCCGCCTATCGCCAACTTGACCTTCAGTTTTCCGCTGGAGAAGATCCGGATCCGTCTCATAAATCAACCAGAAATTCTCCTCGTCACCATCCTTGTCCTTGCTGCGATGCACTGTTTTCCACTCGAGGATAGCATGCCAGCTCCTCAAGACGGAAACAACTTCATCGTGCCTAAGCTCGACTGGAAAGAGTGGAAGAGGATAATGACTTCAGCCTTGGCTCCAGATGAAGCTACGTCTATCGTTGATTACACAGAGGTTACGGCGTCTCAGATCACATCGATGAGCCCGGAAGAGCTGGATGAGTACTTTGCACAACTTTCACTGCTGACTGAAGCACAAAGTAAGTTCAAGTCCCCTTGGGTTTGCTGAATCCGGTGGTTGACAATGACTTAGCCGAAGAGACACTACTCGCGAGATACTTCCCCGTCGGCGAGCAAGTCCACAAACAGACAGTGTCCGAGACAACAGGTGAAGACATGGCCGGAAGGTTGCGCGCTGTTCAAACACAGGCAACATCGTTTTTCGACTCAGATACACATGACAGACATGGGGAGGAGAGTTTGAGAACCAGTCGATATCACTCGTACAAATCAGAGGAAGACCTTCCTCCCATAGGTAGGGATTTCTTTCAGCTGGCGGCGCGGCTGGCAGGGCTGTCCGTCCCAATGTTGGTGCGAGCCGTCAATATGCTCGAGGGCCACATCGTGACCTGGCAAAAGGAGCAACGCAGGGCAGCCAGCGAAAGACGTGAACGATCGCGGTCTTTCGTGCCTATGGAGTCGGATACTGAGCAGCCAACATATACTGAGTAATACTGCGTTTGGATGAAGGTCATTACGGTCTGTGATACGCCTCACTCAAGACGTCGGGGTTGATGGGCATGTAAGTCCTCTTATCACCCTAGTATGGGCACGATGCACAAGTTGGAATTATCAGCGTTTAGATACCCTTACATTAGGAAAAAGTCTATGTCCAGAGCGAAATTTGAAAACCGTATATCTCGTCCTTGTTGTCCTCAGTATTGGCACATCTTGTATGAGCTAAAGACCACTTCCGATCCATCGGCATGTGTGTTCCAGGGCGAAGAAGAAGAGGATAACGGAGAAATTGAGGATGAGCCTGTTGAATGAAGCCTTGAAGTAAGTTATCGCAACCCAAGTGTGAGGTGGGTCACACTGGGCAGACCCATGATTCCCACAGGGCGCCTTCCGCAGCCCGCTCACTTTTGCACATACTTGGACGCTTGGACCATGTCTGTACCCGCGTGCCCTAATTAGGGCTTGTCGGTCGCTCGCGCCGCAACCTCAACACTCATTCTCAAGCCCGCCCCACCAATTATTTGCCGCGATCACCAGAACTTTCTCGGTAACAACAGCCAGTTCACGAACGTCGGCAAGAGTAAGTGATGAGAGCCCCCTGCACGGCAAGACGGCGTCATGCTGCGCGTCGTTGCTCTGATTGTTGGGTTTTGGCGATGCTAACGATATTTTGCGTGTAGTGCAGATGTGAGCCAACCCCCGAACACCCCTCCCGCCCGATCCCGAGCGCAACAAAATCTCTTTCCATGCGAAGACGAAGTCCGAAGACGCCGATTGTACTGACGATGGTGGTTGCAGTTTCGTGAAGACCCTGACGGGTAAGACCATTACCCTTGAGGTCGAGTCCTCCGACACGATCGACAATGTCAAGTCCAAGATCCAGGACAAGGAGGGCATCCCCCCTGACCAGCAGCGCCTGATCTTCGCTGGCAAGCAGCTTGAGGATGGCCGCACCCTCTCCGACTACAACATCCAGAAGGTTAGTCTCATTGCGCGGGACAATTGAAAAGAGGGGGAGAAAAGCACTCGGGTCGCTGGGGATATTGATGATGGGTCAAAAAGACATGGAAACTGACACGCCAAACAGGAGTCCACCCTCCACTTGGTCCTCCGCCTCCGTGGTGGTATCATTGAGCCCTCTCTTAAGGCTCTTGCCTCCAAGTTCAACTGCGACAAGATGATCTGCCGCAAGTGCTACGTAAGTAGCCTCTACTCTCATCCCCCGCCAACTGAGGTCGGCCTTGCGACCCAAGCAAAACCTAACATGGAATCATATAGGCTCGTCTTCCCCCCCGTGCGACCAACTGCCGTAAGCGCAAGTGCGGTCACACCAACCAGCTCCGCCCCAAGAAGAAGCTCAAATAGACGATTCATTACGGTTGCGGCGTCACGGGTTCTGGCATTCTGGAGAGGATGGCAGGGATACGAATTTTCCTGGGCTTTGTGGTAGCATTACTTTCCATCGGCAAGCAGTTCGTCGAATAAAAACTGAATTGGTCGCCCTCCTACCTCAAATGTCAAAAGGAAACACAACCCGGATTACCCCGTTTATGCCTTGTCGTACATCAACAATGATGTTTGGAGGCTGAGAGAAAAATCGTTTGGCGAGAGAGCGCGCCTAGGCGTCCTGAGTGCAGCATGGAGATGCTAATGAGCATGAGAGACGTACTATGATGGATGCAGGATGGCGACTGACCTGCCTCACAATGCTCCATTGACTACAGTGTAAAATTAACACAGTAGCGAAATACAGAGCCTCAGAACCACATGCAGTTCAAATTGGTGATGCACGTCATGCATGTGAATTTCGTGATTGTAATCTTATCAGATACCTAGTGCCGAATGCTTCTATTGAAATTCATCTCAGCACAGAGCAAATTGACGTGTGCTTGCATAAAACTGGGACGTGAATTATCCGCATTAGTGCAACACTGGTTTGGCTCTTACAGGGATGTGTACCTAAGTGGAGACTATTCTTCTCAGGGAGCTGCAGGGCCAAACTGCATATGTGGGATTACGACACCTTGTCCAAAGCTCTAGGTATTCGTACCTACACACGTATCGAACATCCCAACTTGTCCGACTTCACGATCCCCAACGACGACGACCCAGCCGGTCAGAAGCCGATTTTGACAACTCGTCAAGGCATACAGCAGTGTCGGAAACCAAGGGCAGATTCTTCTCAGCTTCGATAACCAATCATGTCACGGTCTGGGTCCGGATACGACGCTGTCGTGGACGTCGACGACGAGGTGAGAGCTCCCTTCCCCTACTTCTTCCTCACAAACGACCTCAAAACTAATCGCACTTCCTTTTGCAGGGCGACCTTGGCCATACCGACCTCCAGGACGATCTCGAATTTCACAGCTCCAACTTCAATGACGCGACGCCGGGAACTCGCAAGGCGCCTGCATCAGGCCTCCCACCGCCAGCGACAGCGTCGTCCGGCTCCTCGAAGCGCTTCCTCTGGAGCATCAACTTTTACGCCCAGTACTTTGACGTCGATACCTCCGCCGTTCTCTCTCGCTGTTGGGCTGCGCTTTACCCGCGCGCAAACTTCCTTGACGTCTTGGAGGGAAACCCGGACCTCTACGGCCCCTTCTGGATCGCCACGACCGTCGTCCTGATCCTTTTCCTCGGCGGCACCATCAGCCAGTACCTCGCGAGCACAGGGTCTGGCCCGTTTGCCTACGACTTCAAGCTCTTGAGTGGTAAGGCTCCTTGACAATGAGCTTACAATCCTCTATGATGATCACTGACACACTTCTCCTCACAGGCGCCGCCGGTCTGATCTACGGCTACACGCTCTTCGTCCCCGTTGCCCTCTACCTCGCCCTGCGCTACTTCGGCTCCGAGTCCGCCAACCTCCTCGAGCAGTGGGCCCTCTACGGCTACGCCAACCTCATCTGGATCCCCGTCGCTCTCATCAGCTGGTCCCCCATCAACATCCTCAACTGGGTGTTCGTCGCAGTCGGCTGCGGTCTCTCCGTCGCCTTCCTCCTCCGCAACCTTTACCCCGTCCTCAGCGCCACCGACCACCAGACGAGCAAGATCCTGCTCGTCGTCGTCGTCGCCCTCCACCTCGGCCTCTCGCTGGCCATCAAGATCCTCTTCTTCGCCCACGGCAGCCCCGTCGCGAGCAAGGACCCCGCTGCGCCGCCCGCCGCGCCCGCCAACCCCCCTGCCGAGGGAGCGCCTCCCACCTTTTGATTTACCCTTGTGGTTCTGCAAGGTCACCGCTAGGAGAACCTTTCGGAGATTGTCATAGAAGAGCGTGCGAAAGGAGCTCGTCACTTGCATTTTGTCTACTTTTGGAACATGGGGGATGCTGTGTCATCCACCGGAGTGTAGGGTTTCATGTACCATATCTGTACAACGAATATCATGATCAAAAGTCGCCGTCTATCTTGCCATCCCGTGTGCCGCGCCGTGTCGTATGACACTCGCCTCAGGACTTTATTCATACATTCCCTCAACCCCGTGACAAGAAACCCGACGCTAATCAATCCTGCCCAATTTGCTTTCCACCCTTCTCAACCTCTCCCCCCTTCTTCGCCCAGTCCAGCCAGCTACCGGGGTACTCCCCGACCTTGGACCACCCAGCATCCCTCGCCAGCGTCGCCAGCGCCCGGCTCCGCACGCCGGCCTTACAATAGAACACCAGCTCCGTGTCCTTGCTCGGGCGAGGGTACCCGTACCGGTCCTCAAAGTCCTCGTCGGCGATGAGGAAGCTCTCGGGCGCCGTGGCGACGGGGATGTTGAGTGCCGTGGGGATGCGGCCTGTTTCTACTAGTTCGTGCGGTTCGCGGGCATCTATAAAGCGGGAAAGGGTTTAAGTTAGCCAAATGGATGTTTTTCATGGTGATTATCTGCCTGTGATTGTAAAGTAAGAAACGTACCGACAATGACGACGTTGCCGGGATCCTTGGCCAGCTCCGCCATCTGCTCAAAGTCCCAGATCTTGCTCCCGTTCGCCGAGATCTGGTGGTAGTCGTCCTCCACCCTCTCCTTCTCCGAGGAGAAGTAGCGTGCCGTCGCATTCTGGTTCGTCGTCACTGCAGCAGCATGAGCAGCCCTCAATCGCAGAGGAGTCGTAATTGCCTTTCCCGGAACGACGCGGGCCGAGACAGTCGACGCCGCCGCGGCAGCAAAGTACCGTCTGGTCGTGGCCGCCGCTGTCGGGGCGCGGGCGAGCTGAATGCTCGCGCGGAGGGCGTTGGCGCATATGCTCTTGGTGGAAGCCATTCTCTTTCCTTCTCTCTTTCCTTCTCTCTTTCGTTTATTGGTGGGGCCAAGGAGTTGACTTGATGGGATGGAAATCCCGCGACCGTCAAAAGCGAATAGAGGACGTTTCGGGGACGGGGGTAGCTAAGGAACTTGGGAGTCGGAGCTTGGAGCTTTGAACTGACTGCGGGAAGCTCCAGCGGGTTTCCTTTCGACCAGGGAACGGCGGGGCGCCGGGGACCTGGCGTGCAGCGCTGATGACAGCCAGTGCTGCCCGCATTGTCGTCCAGCACTGACCGGTCTCCACTGATATTAGTCGGGCGGGCTTCAGCTCTGTTCGACGACCTGGCTTTTACCGGTTTCTTGTCAATTGCGTCTACCTCGCCGACCTTGATATATTGTCCTCTTCGGCGCTTTCTCACTACCAATATCCATCCAGTGAGAGAAGATGAAATTGGTCCGGCACCAACAACTGCTTGCGTGGCCTATTGGTGTCCATTCGGCATTCATCTCTAGATGCCAAGGAGCTTCTTATCTCCATCAGCCTTGATGCATTAGGGGGGCTCAAACATATTTTGAGTTGTTTTTTTAGCATTGGCTCTAAACTGAGTCTATCATCACCCAGCATCATTCAGATCGGCCGTATACCCAATGTCCATCCTTGCCTGGGGATCGTAATCCCTAGACAACCCAAAGTCCGCGGCATCGCCCGCTCTTTTTAGGACTATTCTCCTGAAAAATTATGTACACATAAACGTCTATTACAAGTTTTAGTCTAGGGGTCTGGCGTTGACCAATCTCGACTCGAGTTTTACGAGCCACCCGTTCCGAGAGTCGATTAAAGTGGCGTCTGACACTGACAGGGGGCGCGCTAGCGGTGGTCTTGCAGCATCAGCCGGGCCCAGCTCATTCATTGGGCGAAATCACTGCCAGCCCGTAGCCTAGGGAAAAGAGGTATAAGAGATCTATGCCGTGCGCTCGTTGAAGGTAAGAGGGCAGTCATCCTACGCCTATTAGTTTCCTATTCTTTCACTTTTTACGGGACAATCTCTAACATACCATGGGGAAGATGGTAGCGAACACCTTGATCTCCTCCGACTTGGGCGTGGGGTGGTGCACCCAGTCCAACATGACGGAGGCTTTTCCGATCATCAACGCCAGGTTGAGCTGAGCGTAGGTCTGGCCGATACAGTAGTGAGGGCCGGTTCCGAAAACGAGGAAGTTCTTGGCGCCCTTTTCCTCCGCGTCGCCGGTGTAGTAACGCTCGGGGTCGAACTCGTCGGGGCGGTCGTACACCTCGGGATCACGGAGCGCAGGGTAAACGGTAGGAATGACCATGGCGCCTATTTCAAATCAGCATTCATTCAACCTACTCGACGGCGATAACATCCTTACCCTTGGGAACAGTGTATTCGGGAGTAATGGGGAAGGGCTTCTTAACGACGTAGGGCACCATCAGGACGGGAGGGCGGTAGCGGAGCAACTCGCGAACGACGGCACGGGTGTAAGTCAAGGACTCGAGCTGGTCCATGTTCAACTCGGCATGGCGGTCGCCGTTGCGAACCTTGATGTTCTCTTCGCGGACACGGTCGAGAATGTCGGGGCGCTGGGCCATGGTCTGGAAGAGCCAAGTGGCGGCACTGCTGGTGGCATCTTGGGAGGCGAAGAGGAAGGTGAAGACAGTCTGGGCGATCTCATAATCGGAGAACTCGCGAAGAAGGGGGTGGGGCTTCTCAAGGCCCTCGGTCTTGCCAGCGGCCTCGGCCTCGCGCCACTTCTTGGACTCGAGGATGGACTTGACCCAGGCGTCCATGATGCAGGTAACCTCACCTCCGGCAGCCATGCGAACCTTGCTCTTGGCAGAGCACTTGGCGAACTCGCCGATAACCATGTCGGAGGCCTTCTTTCCGTACCAGGGCTTGGTGAATGGCAGGATAAGGGGGAAGTTGACGAGCTCGAGAGCCTCGGTGATGAGGAAGTAGTCGGTTGAAATCTTGCGGACGGCCTCGTCGGAGATGTAGTAGCCGACAAAAGTGCGGCATGAAACAGCGGTCATGACATCGCGGAAAGCAGGCATGAAAGGACGGGCCTCGCCGCCGGCATCCTTGGTAATCTGGAGGAACTCCTGGAAGTACTGCTTGTACACTGCCTCCTGGCCGGGCAGGTAAGAGGCCAAGGCCTGACGGGTGAAGAGGCCGTTGAGACCCTTGCGGAAGTCGACGTGCGGCTTGCCGTCGAGGAACACCCAGTTAGTGGGACCGAGGAGCTTGTGGGCGACATCAACGACACAAGGCTTGACATAGCCAGGAGAGTTGAAGACTTTACGGGCCATGTCGCGGGTTGAGGCAATGACGACGAACCTGCGACCGTCAGATATTATATCACTTAGAGGTATGTATGTATATGATAGGCGACTTACTTGTGGAAGACAGAAACACAGCTGAGAGGGCCGCTGGCCCACTTGGCCTTGTACTCCGAGAACTTGGGGTTCACAGACTCCAAGAAGGGGCCGATGAAGGGCATCTTGAAGGTAGGGCCAGCAATGGAGCCCTTGGAAGTGATGTAGCTGACTATGGCTTGTCAGACTTTATTCCATTTCCGAGGCTAGTCCTGGGCGCATCACTTACTCTGGTCATATGCGACAGCGAGAGCCAACAACGTGAAAAGGATCGTCACGATGCTGGCGTTGGCCACTTTCTCGATCACGTAGTCGACTTGAGGGGGGATGTTGACATTGCCGAGCTTGGCATTGGCCAACACCGAAGTGAAGGTCGTCGCGTTGGAATCCATCGTGGTCGGTTCGAATATCGAAATCGGGGTGCGTGTATTCGGAGGGGAGGCCGGCCGGATAAGATTGAGAAAAAAAAAATATACCAGGGCGCGAAAGGGTCGGTCGACAGCTCAGGCGCAACACGCAACAACCCAAGTAAGTTTTGCGCTTGTTGAGGTCCTCGGAGGGAAAGGAGGCAGCAGTGAGAATGCCGCGCGAGGTAGGTGAGTTGAACGACACTCTCAGTGGAGGCTGATTAGGAGCACTGAGGGTGAGATGTGGGAGGGAAGGACATGTTCAAAAGATTAAAGAAGGGAGTTCGATTACCATGGGCATGGACGGGGACGGGACGGGGGGCATGGAAAGAGGTGGATACCCGGATGAGGTTGTTCGTTGTGGTAGGCCAGGTGAAAGTGAACGAGGCAGGTCCCAGTCTCTGCAAGACGGGTCATTGGGATGTACCTGTACCTCCCCTGCCTTCCCTGCCACCACACGTAGGCGCGAACGGGGGTCCCCCATGGTCTTTCTATGTTTCCTAACAAATCCACCTCTGTGTTTGAACAGACAGCGGCCAAAACAGTTTCCGCACGCCAATTTCGCCCAGGAGCACAGAGAAGGCGATCAAAACACGATAGATTTTTGTGGGTTGTCTCCGTTAAGACCGACGTGGGCTGCTGAAATTCTGAATTTTCTTTCCAGGTTCTTGGTCAATACCACCTCACCCTGTGGCCTGCGCAATAGGGGGCCCTTTGGAGCCTTTGGAAGCATGCGCAAGGCCGCAATCGCCCAAGCACTCCCGTCTTCAGGGACCATCGGACGGCGATGTGAGCCGGAAGTCTCTTCTTGCCTTACCAATGCGTCCGTCCTCTTGACTTGGGTAGCAAAACTCACTTTACCCCAGAGAAGGTCATTGAGTTTTGATTCTAGTCAGATTTCGATGAGCAGTGTCTCCATCCTTGCTATGCTTTTTGATATAGCTCGCGGCGCAAAGCGAAAAGGAGGAGCGGGGCGGTTATCACAGTCTCAGTTCAATTCAGTATGAATACATGAGACTATCGCAAAGTGCTCGGATGACCGGTAAGTGGAATGCCCGCCTGCCTATCATCCAACATCAAACGAAATGACAATTTTGTTCCTTCTGGCTCTGTCTTGGTCAATTAGCCGGGACAGAATCTGCTGGCTGCTTTGGCGCATAGATGATAGCGCAACCAGATGGGCTAGTGTCAAAATTTGTTGGGTCCAACTCACCTGCTTTCCACCAAGCAACCAAAGGCAGTAAGTAGTAAGGTACCTACCTAGTCGTTGCTTCGTCTCGTTTAGGGGGGAAAGAGGGCCGCATTGCTTGCATTGCCCATCCAGTGTCCACCGAGCATCAAGGGCAGCTCGCCTCCGAACATTCACACGCACATAATAATCGGCCCAGCACCACATGTCGGCCTGGGGGTTGTGACATGCCCTCTTTGTCTGCTCCGTATGGACATCTGGGCATTCGAATGACCTTTCTTCTGTCCTCATTGGATGCCCATCGCTTGTCTCGGCCGCCATCGATGGGGCGCGAATAGACCGAATGGCGCAAGATCCGGACGTGGGGTTGGTTCATGACCCTGAATCTAGCACACTACTCAGCGACGCGAAATTGAAGCTGTCATGGGCTAACCTTTCTATTGCTCAGCACCTCTCGTCCTATCCACGTATTCGTATCCATGCGACCGTCACTTGTCCTCGGACAGGACAAGGAGCCGCGGGTTGTTTGATGTTCTGGCGGTTCGGCTCTTTATTCCTTTCTTCTTTCTCTATGGTCTAAACGTTTTGTTCGCTAGTGTTGAGCATTGGTATTTTGATTGATGTAGGTATCCCAAACAGATATACTGAGCGCTATTCGCTCAAGTCAAGAAAGCCGTGTCCAATTAGCTCGAGTCCCATGGTCAACGCAACTGTCAATGTCACAAAAATCACCATGTGTTCCCTAACCCACCCGAGCAAACCAACGCCAGCAACCAAGCCAAACTGGATTGCGCCAAGCAAAGTACCGGCTACAAAAGTCTACTTCTGCCCTCCACGGAATTGTGGCGTCTGTCGGTGACTTGACCACACTCGACTCAATACTGCCCAAAAAAAAAAAAAAAAAGTACCTACAATTGCACCAATGCACTCTCGGTGGACTGCCTTTCCGGACAAGGCCAGTGACGTTTCATAAAACATGCAGATGAGAATGCACAAATCGTCCGAAGAGGTAAATCTCTGCCACTCACCAACACCAACAGGCAATTTCTCATTTCGGAGCATTGAGCAACGAGTTGTGCAAATGCGACCCTCCCCCGTCTGACAACCGCGGGAGCTCATCGATTGGCCAATCCACCAGGGACGGCAGCTACCCCTGACCTGTGTGATCTGGACGGCCCGGCCAATCAAACCGTCTGATCTCTTTTCGGCCTCCGTCTCTCAACCGTCAAACGAATCACGTGATAACACGAATACGAGAGTGCCCCTCCATCCATCCTTCATCCTTTTCATCATTCCCGCTGATAAGAGCCAAATCCAAACTTCGATTGAGACATGGCGGGGTAATGCCTGATGAGCCGTCGCAGCGCCCGGCCACCGCCTTTGCTGCGGCGTCTCAAGCGTCGCTCTAGCTTCTAGACCGCTTTGCAGAACGTCATGACGCCCTTTCTTTTTTTTTCCTTACCTCACCAGAAGTGAGGCTCTGATTAAGGTTTGTGGAGCGCCTGTCGTCCGACTGACACAGACTACATTTCCGTCGCGGCGGAACTCAACTTTCTTAGCTATTTGATCTACCTAGAAGCAGTCAATCTATCATCATCGACGGTTGAAATCGCTACTACCACATGAGTAGTTCTCTCTATGACTTTTGATCTGTACTGTTTGGTCCAAAAGTCACTCAAGCCTCTTCTCGTTAATATGACACTTCTACAGTAGAGCATTCGTTCTCCGGGCTTTGGCACACCCCAACACCAGACTCTGAGCTCTTACAACAGCGTGTTTGAATTTAGACCATTCCGAAATATAAAAGCATGTCCCGATCGGACCCTGAGTTTCATGCTCGGTATTTTTTGACTGGGTGAGAGACCTCAAGTTTGACGCATTCAAGCTCTCCGCGCCAACGAAAGTCAGGATCTGGGCCATCTTACGAACCATACCATCTTCGCCCTATGTGTTCGTCTAACTCTAACTTGATGATCCTCCCATGATGGCTTTGACCATGCTAGGATGAAGATCTCACTCGGTCGTCAAAAATCAGCTTCAAAACATGGTTCCGCAAGCGCGGAAATCCTCATATCTATATATGAAGACTGGCCAGAAAGTCATCCGCGGTGCGCCTATCACGGAGGGTCAAGCTCAAGAGAATATGTAACCAGCCGTATTTTTTCCAATTGACTCAGGCGGATTCATAAGAAGGCCTCGAAGCCGAAGGCGAAATAACGGAGCTGCCAATTAAGTGAGATACCTTACACAAGTGCCCCAGCTACTGCGTTCAGTCTATGTGGCGTGTGCATGTTGTTGACAGTTATGAGCAGAACTTTACACTTTCGAAGTATTCTAGCATCAATAACACACCTTTCCTTGCATTCGAATTTTGAATGAATAGAGCGCAAATCTAGCGTATGCGGTCTTCTTCGTGTCATGGTGGTTCTGTCTGCTAGATCGAGAATTAAGGGTTTCTCATTTCAGAGTCATTCCTGATAAACCGAACACAGTCGTAGTCAGGATATTTGTAGTGGATCTTCTCCCATACTTCGCCATGAACTGCTGCCAAAACCTCTATGCATATCTCGCGTGTGCTGATGGGGTACAGATTTAACCTCACCTCGTACGAGAGCGAAGCCTCACTGAGGTGTGTTATCCGTCATGTCGACATGACATTGCAACGCCTCGTGCTCCGAATCCTCCGGTCATCGCCTGCAAAAGAGAAAGAGAATCGCCAGTGGATGCAACGGGCAGTCAGTATCGTCACGTACCGCTGCACTGCGGTTTCTGAACCCCTCGATATGCGTCGAGTCTCATACGGAGTGGCCGATGAAGGTATTGCAAAGCCGGGGATAAGGTAGTTATAACTGGGAAGAAGTAATGACCAGACCCAATAAGGCGAAGCAAGTAAAAGTAAACAAATACTGGGAGTTGGTTTCAACAGTCTAGCATACAGAGTTTGATTAGATTAGTATTCTGTTGACGTAGTCAAGTCCGTCAAACTCATCAACGAATTGCGCGTCACGTTGGGTGTACAGACTACGCCGCACCTAGCCAGCCACGCGGCCCCCATCAGAGCCAGGGATGCTGCTGGTGATGGTTTGACAGCAACTACAACGTACAAAACAAACGACATTGCGTAGTCGCCTTACGGAATGAGTAGACGAAACGACAGCCCTCCATCAAGATTAAGCTTGTTTTTAGCCGAGAGTAATAGAGTTTCTTTTCGGCCCCGGTGCCAGAAGGTTCTCACAATTGCGGAGCCCGGGTCTCTGAACGATCAACGCCCGTTCATTAAGAACTGCCGTCTGATCTTTTCCCCCCAACGGTTATACAGTATCATCTCTTCCAATTGGGATCAGTGGGATGAGTGAAGATTTCCAATCACAGTAGTCAAAAGTTCTGGGGAGACTCATGAATCCATCGGCGAGCTTCTTCGAGACGTTTCGAGAGGCTTCAAGACGAAGAGAGAAAAGGAAGGTTTCGTCTTGCCAAAGGGCGATTCGGCACCGGCCCCGATTTGTTTACTGCCCGTGTAAGCGAGCGTTCGTCACCCGGCCCCACCACGCCTGACGACACCACCTCGAGCAGCGAAGGAGGGAAAAATAAGTGTGGAGTCCCGTTTGCCGAAATGCAAGGCGGGTGGAGTAGGTGACTCGGAGTGAGTCAGCCCGAATATGAGCGGGATGCAAGATTGCTACCGTACACCAAAATCAAGGCCGTGTAAATGAGGCTGCGTACGCAGGCCAGAGAGGGAAAACTTTGCAGTGAAGAAAATTTGCAGTGTAAAGCAACGGGTGACTGGGTAAGTCAGACAATGAGGAACTCCTTTCACCGCATTCTTGGCACAGTTCAAACGGGGGCCAAACATCACGGGAAGGCTACGGTGCCAAGTCTAGAGTCGGCCGCATCTTACACCGACTCCTAGGTACTCCCATGACGGCCGCACATAGCATTCGTGATGGACCAACCAAAGACTTTCATAAACACACTTGGGAACTTGATACATTCTCGTTGCCGTAGACATGCAGCTGGAGCCTAAGATATGTTACGCGAATCTAGGCAGAATAGGCCTGGGTGCTCTGGCTTTGCTGGAGGCTTGCTGTCGCTGACGGGGGCTCCTCGTCAGGCAGACATGTCTGTCAGCAAGCCCATACCGGAGGTAAGATAGTCTACTCGGAAATTCTACGAAAGGACGTAAGCCATTTCTCTCATCAAACCCTATCTTGATGAAAGTACACATCATCCGGCGCATCTTCACCCCGGGGCGCTTACCTTATCCCCGGTCCCCTCTTTCTCCTCTGTTGGCTCCCAAGACGATCACCTCCAAGGATCTAACCTACACTTCCGCCTGGTATGGCTCACATTGGAAAATTGAGCATACGCACCCTTCGGTATCACATAGTCTCAAGATTCGCATCCGTGACTCTAATGAGGCTGGCAAGCTTGCATCGAGGCGCATGAGGCACATTAAGACGCATGGGCGTAATGACTCACACAGCTGTTTCTATCTTACCGAATAACGTCTGTTCGTCCTACTCTAGTTTCCTCCCCTGTTCGCAAACGCCGTTCCGGATGTTCTTTCTGTCCGTAGTGTAGGCTTACCCGCTGCTCTTAAAACCGTTTACCTTACCGGCCGGCAGGCCTGCGAGCGTCCACGCGTGACTCCGTTTCCTGCGGCTTCCCCTTGGCTCCACACCTCCGAGCTGCAAAGAGTTTCCCATCCATGACCATGACCACGACTACCGATGACGCCGTGTCGAGACGCGCAGCGGGGGGGCTATGGTACCTGGTTGCCAGCAAGATCCATACCAGCATCTCAAGTCCAAAGTGTGTAAGTCATGTAAAGTACCGTACTCATCGGTCTTGAATTTCAAACTATGGGATCGACTTGGTATAAGTAAGAGATCTTTCCATGCTCATCCTCAGGCTTGCCTTTCCGGATCATCCTCATCATCATCAAAGCAACCCAGTACCAATCAAACAATTGAACATCACTTCCCCCATCTTGATATCAAGATCATCTATCCCAATCCAAAGGTTCATCCGAACAAAACCACCCACCATTAAACTCTCATCCAAACCATCACAAACCCAAACAACCAAAGCAGCCATGTCCGGAATGCACTCCAGCTTCTCCAGCTCCGTCACTGGCGACAGCCGCCATAGCTACGCCCTCCTCTCCGCGATACAAGAGGGCTCAAAAGCCTCCTCTTCGTCCTCCTCTTCCCCCTACCAGAAAGACGGCGACGCCGCCTCAATGTCAAGCTTCGGCAGCTCCGCTTCCCTCCTCAAAAGCAAACTGAACAAGCACTCCGCCAGCTCAGCAAGATCATCATCATCATCATCATCATCATCATCATCAAAAAAGTCTTCGTCCCTGATTGCCCGCCAACGGGCCGCCGAGGACGCGAATACGCAAATCATGAATTCGCAGGCTGCATACTGGCCCTCATCTATCCGCAACGACTTGTAAAGAGCCATCTTGGCAAGCAAGAACCATTGAAAATGTTGGATGATAAAAACGCAAAGTGGAAGGCGGCGGCGGAGAAGGGGACTGGTGTCGCCGCCATGCTTGTATGATGGGACTTATAGGAGTTTTGGGAGTTAATTTCTTACAAATTAGACGGTTATGCTGAATCAGCGGCCGTTCGGAGGGGGTCTTTCTGAATTAAAATGTTTGGAACGTTGTTCGACGTCTACAACATGAGAAACTGCAACACGTATTATATAGGCTTATTTTGAGATTTACGGAAGTAGATCGCCTAGGCAAGAAACAGAATGAAAGAGTTTCATTTATGTAACCAAGGGTATCTTGTCTATCAGTAAGGCAGTCTTATATACTCTCTTACAGGATCAAAAGCTTTCATTGAGAATGTCCTCGTTCATCTTGACCATCGTAGGACTATACTCTGAGCTCTCTGGCTCGGCGCCCGCTGTAAGTAGAATATCATCAACAATGCGCTTGCTTGCCTCGCGAGCTGGTACATTTTGTCAGCAAACGGATTCATCACTGTAGAAAAAAAAAGCCACTCACCAGGGGTCTGAAGCAGTTTCGACGGAGGAAGCGCAAACTGGATAGTCTTGGGCGGACTCATACCGCCATACAGCCCATGGTCCTCGTCACTATCGCTCTCCCAGTCAATCTCGTACTTTTGCTTATCGAACTTGGCACCGAGATCCGTAGTCGTATCGTCATCGTAGTTGCCCTTGGTAGCAAACACGTCCTTGGTCTTCCTCGCACCACCCGGTGTTTGCACGCTCACGCCCGGTGTCCGTGGTCCTGCAGATGCAGTCGCGGCAGCAAGACGCTGTCTGGCATTGCTCTTGATAGGAGACATGAAGGCCTCACTACGTAGCTTAGGAACCGCCATGACAGGCGAGGACATGGGCGAGTCCTGCTGCCACGAAGGCACAGTTTCCTTCTCCTTGTTTTTATCATCACGCTTCAGCGGTGAGACGCGGTAAGTTGGGCCCTTGTGTGGCGTGGCCTGGATGCGGAACGTCTTGTCAAGCATGCGGTGCATGAGCGGGTCCTTGTGACTCTGCTGCTGTTGCGGCGGCGCGAACGAGGAGCGCGGCGTCATGGACATGTCTGGAAGACGGGCTGTGTGCTGCGCAAAAAGGACGGTCGAGTCCTCCTCGAGCCCAAGATCCTCGTTCTCGTCGTCGTCCTCATGCGGCGCAGGTGGCTCGCCTTTCAGCTCGCGCTTGAGTGCCTCGTAGGGGGATTCGAGGTTTGAGAACTGTGGCTTCATCGTCTTTGTTTTAGGTGGCCGGGGTGTGCTGCCAGTAAGGTCGTTTTCGTCGAGTACGGAATCGTCTGCGCGGAAAGTCGAGTCGGCGGTCGAAACTATGGTCATGTCTTCGCCTTCGGTGCGGTGTTGTTGGGGTGTGCGGGTATAATCGACGGATGTATCTTCTTGAACGGTCGACTCCTCCTCAGTTGTGCCAGTCTCATCATTCCCATTGTTGGCGTTCTCTTCGTAACCGGAGAGAGAAACGTTGGCCGAAGCCTCGAAAAATTGCTTCCAGAACTGCAGATTTGCCGTGTGTCAGCGATGCTGGAGTGCCTAAGAAAGAGAAGGGCACCGAAATAAGCGCAACGCACCTTCGAAGCATCCCAAACATTTCGCGAATGCTCGCCATATTGCTCTACAATGGGCAAGATATTCGTGGTCACGATACGGTGCGCCTTGCTAAAGTTGTGGTCGATTTCTTGGGAAAAGGTCAGCCGATTTGAAATGGACTGGCCAAGTCCGCTTCGATGCCGTGTACTTACCTTGGAGAGTCAATGTAATAGACTGCTCTAACTTCTCTAACTCTTCTGTAAGAGTTAGGTTCCGTGCGGAGGGGCCAGGACGAGCCATGTTGTCAGCGTGCCCGGCGGTTGTTGAGCTTGAATTCGCAATAAGAGAGCTCAGATTGTTTTGTTCAAGTGCACGGTTTCTTTCGTCCAAAGGAGGGAAGTAAATCAACAAACGCGGGCAGGTGGGACACGCGATGCGGGGCATTACCAGGGGGGTCGGAGCCGGGGCATCACTTTGGCGGGGCAGGCCACCATCATTATGTCCCGTCCATCTTTCGCTTCGGGGCCGCTTGTCATCCCAAGTCTTTGCCATCAGAACTCAATGCTACGATTCCCTTTGTGGATCAGGAATGAAAGGTGATTCAGTAAATACTGTAAACGAAAATATTGTCGTTGAAACATAATGGCTAGTTATTGATCTAACGCCTAGGTATCTTTTATCAACAATCCAACCGTTCCTTATCGAACGATTATGCCCTAGAGTAATAGCCAGACATGTCTAGCTTCAGAACAAGCTGAGCAATGGGATTCCCCTCTAGTGTGTCAACTCTTCCTGATGTCGACTTCTCTCCAGATGTATCCTTCGTTCCGTAATCTCCTTTTTCGCTTAGGCCTTTGCAAACCGCCGAGAAAACCTCGACATTCCGCTTGAACGTCCTGTATAGGCCCTTCGTAGTAGCGTCATCTTGACCACGAGATTTCTGTCCATCATTTTGGAGTCTCGAGTATTGGGCAAACTTCAACACGACCCGGAAAATGTCGTCGAGAAGCTTGAGCACAGGCTGTTGCCGCTTGCGCAAAAGTAGTGCTAGCATAATTCGATCAAGCACTTGAGAGTGGTGTTCCCTCAGGCGGTCAGGGCTAAGGACTGAGGTAGAAAATGTACTCTGGTCTTCGGCCCCGAGATCGATTTCGATTTGGCTCAGTAGTTGCTCAAATGCCTGCCACGGCATTCCGATGCCAATATCGAAGATGTAGGAACTGAGGCTGGATACAAAGTGACGAGCTTCAAAGCAGAAGCGGATAGATATGTCATCGACATCCTGCCAGAGCGACTCCCTAGCCGTGACATCGCGGAAGATACGGTTGACAGTATATTGCATCCGCAGCACTCGAAGTAGCAGTTTGAAAACTCGGTCATACTGCACCAGAATGACGGGGGTAATAATAGCCCCTAGAGCTGCAGGTGGCTTGTAGGATAGCCGAAGAAAATCTAAGGCCTCTAGTCCAGTGGGATCCATGCATTTGTCGATTTCCTCACTCGAGAGACTCCGGACTCCGAAACTAAGATCACCCGGGAGTTCATTCTTTTCGCCGTCTCGAGGTCTTGAGTCTTCGTGTAGCGGCCCCTCATAACTTTCCGTCAATACTCCCATCAGGGCTAAGCGTAGTTCAGAACTGGCGGGTGGCCAAGTGTCCCTACCACTTAATCGTAATCCCATGACTCCGCCTTGGTGAGCAACACCAGGCTGTCTCTCAGCCGTCTCGAGATCTGGGTCGAATAGGGCATGGGAGAGGCGGCTGCAGAAGAATCCGTTGCCTAACAAGTGGAACTCTTTCTGAAGCTTCAGATGCTCACGTAAGTTGTGGGATGTGAAGAGCAGTTTCAGACTTTCCCTGCCCACGACTCTAGATTGCGCGGATATGATGGACCCGAATGAGAGGATCGGAAGTAGCGACCAGTGCGGTGTAAAATCAGTGCCGGCACTGGCGATCTCGGTCGTAACATCGGACAAGCGCTCCCTGATGATAATGCCTAGCAGGTCTTCTGATGTCGAGTCGGCAATCGGTTTGGCGAAGTCTTGGATATATAAGGCCAATTTACTTTGTAGCTGATTCTCGTCCAGGCCAAAAAGCTGAAGTTGATACGTCGCTGAGTTCCCAGTCGGCCAAGCTGGTGCCGCTCTTTCAGCTGATCCCTGCATAGAAAAGTTCATGATTGTTTCAAGAACCTCACTTTCGTATGATCGGATCCTATCCTCCAACTGCACGACCGAGTTCCAGTCAAAAAGCCACTCAACTGTCGGGGGCCGACTTGAAGAGATAGTGCTCTCTTGTGACAGAGGATGTCCGGGATGATTTGACCTTATGAAACGAAGATTTCTTCCAACCTCGAACAGAGATTTGACAACATCTTCCGGCATGAAGCTAGGTATTCGCTTATTGTCTAGGCGGAAATCGACCTCGTCGACCTCGTCGCCGAAATCGTCCATGTAGGTTTCGGATTCCACCTTGATGAAGCCCTTTTGTCTTCCAACTTCGTGTTTGCTCAGAGGCACGCCAAGTTCACGCCGTGTGCCGATCCATTCTTCGACAAGCTCAATCCAGGGTTTTGATACCCGCCGGAGGACTTCTCGCATCATATCTCTGAGATGGGTCTCGGCGTACTCAGCAGACTGAGCCTGCTGGAATACGATGACGAGAACATCTTCATCCAGATGACCTCGTCGTATCTTTGAGACCAACGACTCAAACTGGCGCAAGGTAGTGTATATATGCGCGACGAGCGATTGAACTTGGAGAATCGACCGTGGGTGTTGGTGATGCAAGGCAACACTGCTTTGGATGACCAAGAGGGCCTTGTCCACAGCGCTCGCCAAAGCAACGCGGCATGGAGTCGGGTTCTTCAAATATGTACTGTCGACAAACTTGCGAAGTTGACGATATGTATTGCCACACTTGAGACATGAACGCTGGACTTCCTGGACAGCTTTACCTGAATATGCCGGTATCCTGATCTGGGGTAAGGTTGGCTTGAAGGCTTCATGCTCGTCTTGCCAAGAGAAGAACACAGAGTCTCTTCCAAGAGCCAGAGCGAGAAGGGCATTGCAATATGTCTCAGCTTCCACGACGGTGAAGTCGGCATTTCCGATGTGTAGAGGATCCTCTTTAAGCCCGATCAAAGCATCAAATGCCCCAGGCCCAGCCTCCGTTATGAACAATGGCCTTGTCGAGGGAATGTCGGGAGACTGGAAGCCTTCCCAAGTTTTGTACTCCGGTAGTTTCGCGGCGGGCTTGTCAAACCCTAACCAGAAATCGGCCACTTCTACCTCTTCCTCTGCTGTGGGTTCTTCGAACGTGAAACTGGGGGTTTCAATCGTGTTCGACTCCTCCTGCTGCGGTACAGGGTCTATGGCAGGGAGTGTGAATAGTTCGCTGGGTTGAGGATCGGGAGGATTGCATAAAGAAGGCAGCTCTGTGTCTGAGCATAAGAGAGGTTAGCAAAACGATCAAGAGCCTCTTGGGTTCGAGAGGCTGTACCTGTTAGGTCTAGAGCAAAGAAACCAGTGTCGGCCCTGGGCAATTGGTCTTTTAGCAATTTGGACGGCTCCCAGAAGTCTGGAATTGCGAAGACGTTTGGAAGGTCATCTTCCTCGAACATGGTTGCGCCGACGGTAATATTGCGACGTTGACCATTGGTGTAGACGGATATGGGGCGCAAAGCCTACAATCAGTGACATTGCATCTTTGAAGATTCAGGTTCCATATGACGTTTCTTAGGGACAAAGCTAAATGAGCGGCTAGGGGCCCCCCGACGCGATCTGGCGCGTCACACTTTCAGGCACAACCTGCTGAGCACGACCCCTGCATGTCTCTGCCCGATTCTGATCATCCCCGCAGGTTCGGCTCCTGGCGGCTGAAGAGCCTAAGACTCAAAAGGTACCTACCCTGCGACGCGGGAAGGCAGGTGGAACCAATCGAGAGCTCTCAATGCCTCAATCCGCTAGAGCTCTCAGACTCAGAAGCTTCTTTTTTTTCCAACATTTACCAAAGCATTTGAACGACAGCCTTACTTCCTCCGTATCATCACCCAGCACCACATATACACGCGCCAGAATACAGGAAGAACAATCTCTGTAGATTCACGCCGCTGGCCCTTGCTGCCATGCCTCCCAAAAAGAAGGTGCGCAGCAGCGTGTCTGCTGTCGCAACGCCAACGCCAGCTCGCGATGAAGATGCCATGGATGTCGATACACCGGCTGCAGATACTCCTGTGGCCAGCGCGCCTCCGATCAAGCCTTCTGCGGATGAGTGGCCAAACAACCTGTGGACCGACGACCAACTTTCATCACTTTACAAAGGAGTCATCCGGTGGAAACCAGCGGGTGAGTCCATCAGTCCTGACGAGACCAATTGAATCTGACGGTCAAACCGTAGGCATGCACAAACACTTCAGGATGATTGCTATCAGCGAGCACTTGCGGAATCACGGAATTGACCCCGATTTCTACACCCACACACGTATCCCACATATCTGGACGAAGCTACGCACCTTGTACGACCTTAAGACGATCGACCAGCGAGAAGACTTCTACGACGCCCAAGAAGATGACAATTATGACGACCGATTCAAGGAGTTCTCCCTTCCATACGACGAGTTCGACGATATGATGATGGAGCGTCGCCTTGCCGATGCCAGCGAACCTCCAACCTCACCACCCGAATTCGAGCTTACGCCGCCACCGCCCTCTCCCGGCGGTAGCAACGCTGGCGGAAACACCAGGCGGCGAAAACGCGCTTCCACAGTGACCAAGACTCGCGCTAGCACCGTCGAGGATACCGAAGATGCTGGTACAGACACTGCGTCGCCGCCTCCAAAATCGGCGCGGGTGGCCAGGAGTCAGAAGAGGGCCGCCGGCAAGGCTAAAGCCGAGAAAGCTGAGAAGGTCGAAGAGCCCGAAAAGCCAAAGAAATCCGGGAAGCCAGCGAAGGCAGAGAAACCCAAGAAGGGCGGGAAATCTGGCAAGGCTGAAAGAGCCGATTCGACGAACTCGGAAGATGACGACGATGATGACGAGGAAAACTCGGGCGGGGATGAGGACGGGTCGGACTCGGACGAAGAAGAGCAAGATGATCGCATTGAGGGCGAAGACGGAGAAGATGGAGACGAAGGAGACGAGGAAGAGGAAGGCGACGGTAGCAATTCTGGCGATGGTAGCGGTTCTGGTGATGCCGGTGACTCTGGCGGCTCTGGGGATTCCGATGACGGAGACGAGGAGGAAGAGGAAAGCGCCGAAGATAGCGGGACCCCGGTATCGCGTTCAACAAGAGGTGCTGCTCGAGGTCGTGGCAGAGGCAGAGGCCGAGGTAGAGGACGGGGTCGGGGACGTTAGCAACGAGGTCGGATGCGTTAGCTGAAGTTGACTGCAACCCGACCCACAACAGCAAACAAGCTGGCGTTTGTCCATAAAGACACACCTAGTGGGACAAAGATACCCGTCGCGATCTGCGACTTCACGAATGTTGTAATCAGACACGCCTCGTCTTATGCCTCACTCACTAGCATAGGATAACATGGATTGGTGTTGGAAGAAGAAGGAGACAAAAAGTAGAGAAATCCAAATCTATGGGTATCAAGAACAGGAACCAAATTCAACGACTAAACGCGGGATCATGCCTTCTTGTCCGGAAGCTGAGACGTGCCGAGCATTTCCCACTCGCTGTGATACGTCAACTTCTCCCTCCACCGCCGCCCGACATCGTACACGTCTTCCACGGCCCTGGCTACTTGCTTAGTAGGCTCTGTGGTCTGCGTCCCCATGAACGGCTCGGGGGGTTGTCGTTGCAGGAGCCGCCACATGTCCGACTCGCACTCGCGGCTCGCCTTTGCATCTTCGGCCTCTGCATACGCTTCCTGCGCCAGCTCGTTCCTGATCCGGTTCTTCAAGGCTTCTCTCGTGCGATGTGTCTCGGGGAAGTCATACGCGGAGTAGACGAGTACCTCGTTGGCCTCCTCGACGACCTCGCGTTCTACGTCGTCCATGATTACAAGCGCCTCATCACCCGTTTCATCCAAGACGGAGTCCTCATCGTCCGCCGAGTCCGCTGAGTCCGACAATTCGTCTTTCTCGAATTTAATCTGGGGGGCCGAGAAGCTTTGGCTCGGATGCTCGGTATCCGCTTCCCTGCATAAGACGCTTTCCACGCGGTCATATGAGACTAGCTCCTCATCCTCGTCGTCCCCAACATCTTCAGCATCGTCATCATAGATGTGAAGTCGTAATCTCCGTGCACATGTCGTCCAGAACTCGTTGCTGTTCTGCTTCATACCCAGCGATGCGACTGCGGCCTCAACGTCCTTGCGTCTGACCAGGTTCCTCGTCGATGGTTCAACGTGCTTCTTGCCCCGGATCCGGGATTGCGCAATGAAGAGCGTAGTGATGACAATCTTCTTGGTGATAGAAACGAGAAGGGAGTGGAAATCCTGCAATGCTGTTGCTCGGATAGTTGGCGGCTCTTCGCTAACGTACTGCCAGTTGTTCTCGGCGTTGGATGCGTTCATGAAGATGCGCTCGGGAAGTCGAAGGAAGCTCTTCACCCGAAGAACCTCAGTGAATGCCAGCCCGTGGTCGCTCGCGAATGTCGGGTCCTTGTTCAGTCCGTGATCGCCTTCGATGCGTTTTGCGAGCTCCAGGTTGATGTTCCAGCACTCGCCCCACTTCTTCTGTTCGACGAGCTCCTCGTGCCGTTCTTGACGGAACGAAAGTGCGTCGGCTGCTTCGTCAAGCGCGTGACAGCATAGTGGACTGATCTCAAGGGCTGCAGGGAAATCTGCTAGATGTATCGGCTTGTTGCCTCCGTCCTGCTCCTTGTCCCTTCCCTCAACAGCCGCTTGCAGGAGAAGGATATACTGGCGGACTTCAATCACACTCTTGGTCTGGATATTGGCCGAGATGCCCGGTAAGTCGTCCTTGCCGAGTCTTGATAGGGCCTCGAAGAAGAGCTTCTTCTCGTACGAGGTCCAAGTCGTCAAACCAATCTGCGAAGGTGGCAGATCATCGTCTCCTCCGACAGTTGTGTGATGAACGACATCTTGGATATCTCCGTTCAAGAGATCCAGGTAGTTGTTGTTGAAGACGCCTTTGTGACGCTTGAGAACTGGCTCCACGATCTCATCTTGCGCCCGTCGCTTGTGTCTTGAGAGGCCCTCGTCTGTGCCACTTTCATCGTCGCTAGCTGATGCGACGGAATATGCAGAATGCGGTTCCTGATGTTCAGTCTTTTGCCGTTTTGGTGGTGACTTGTCGAGGTCCTCAAGGTCATGTTCTCCTGACTCCTGGTTTTGCAAATAGTCGTGATCCGGCTCCATGCTCATTTTCGTCTAAAACTCTGAAGTCGACGATTTGGCCTAGGCGGTGTGTCGCATACATGTTGTGATGAGAGCACCAGCATGTAAGAAATTTTGCCTCATAGAAGCCGAGTCCTGCGTTTTGGATTCCAGGCGTGATGTATGCTATCGGTGGCTGCCTCGAAGATACATGAGGTCTCTTGGTTGATATGAGGTGAGCGATGCCTCAGTGTTGTAAGATGGAAGATTTCCCAGCATTGGGGACCATAGGTTCCTCCTTGAGTGACGCTAACAGGCACGTACCTAAAAGTCCTGTGTGAGTGTTACCAGGAAACTTCGAGTACATCTGGGAAAGTACTATCTAGGTAGTGTGGGGACAATTCGTGGCAATTGATTGGAGTAATTGTGCGCCCCTTGCTCTCCTATACATCCAGGTTTCCGCGACGGCGACAACCAACTACACTCATTACCTTACTTTAACGTCCTTTTTCATCTTTAACTTCTTCTAGAATGGAGACCATCACATCATGATACCTTTTGCCACACGGAAACTTTTGGCGCCTTCCTTCAGCGTGAATGAGTTGAGACTTCCCATTCTCATCAGAATCCCTGTTAAAAGACATGTTCCCTATGCTGGGGTACGATTCGCGAGCTCTCGGGTACAGCTGAGAGACTATCAAGAAGAATGCATTCAATCCGTGCTACAGTCCCTCGAAGATGGACACAAAAGGCTGGGGATCTCGCTGGCTACCGGTAGCGGCAAGACCGTTAGTCTTCGTGATGACCTTTGATAAATACAAACAACTAACAACCTCAGGTCATCTTCACCCAGCTGATTGAAAGAATTCAACCCAGGGAAACCGCCGCCACGCAGACCCTCATCCTCGCTCACAGGAGAGAACTTGTCGAGCAGGCGGCAAGGCACTGCACCAATGCATACCCCGACAGCACCGTGGAGATTGAGATGGGCTCCGTGCATGCTTCTGGCGCCGCAGACATCACCATTGCCAGCCTGCAGAGTCTCACGTCCGGGGACCGGCTCACCAAGTTTGACCCGAAAAGATTCAAGCTCGTGCTCGTCGACGAGGCACATCACATTGTAGCGCCAGGTTACATGCGAGTACTGCGTCACTTTGGACTCGACAGTAAGAAGGTGGACTCGCCGTCTTTGGTGGGCGTTTCCGCCACTTTTTCTCGATTTGACGGCCTCAAGTTGGGCGCCGCGATTGATCAGATCGTCTATCATAAGGACTATGTAGACATGATTGGAGACAAGTGGCTCTCCGATGTTATGTTCACCACCGTGGAATCAACAGCAGACTTATCCAGGGTCAGAAATGGTGCAAATGGCGATTTCCAGCAAGGGGAACTATCAAGGGCCGTCAATACAGACCAAATCAACGAGATCACCGTACGGAGCTGGCTGGCCAAGGCATCCGATCGGAAATCGACTCTCGTCTTTTGCGTCGACCTTGCGCACGTCGCTGGCCTGACGCAGACATTCCGCAAACACGGCTATGACGCCAGGTTTGTGACAGGAGACACACACAAAGTCGAGAGAGCCGAGATCCTCGAGGAGTTTCGAAATGGGAAGTTCCCCGTGCTTGTGAACTGTGGAGTCTTCACAGAGGGCACAGATATCCCAAACATCGACTGCGTCATTCTTGCTCGTCCAACACGATCTCGGAACCTTCTGGTGCAGATGATCGGTAGAGGTATGAGGTTACACAAGGGCAAGTCCGACTGCCATGTCATCGACATGGTTTCCAGTCTCCAAACCGGCATCGTGACTACGCCAACGCTTTTCGGTCTGGATCCGAGCGAGCTCATCAGCGAAGCGACTACAGCCGACATGGAGAAGATTAAGGACAGGAAAGAAGCAGAGAAACTCCGTCAGGACCACGCCTATTCTGATACTACTGCACTTCAGTCAACTACGCCCACCAGGTCGGTAACTTTCACTGACTACGACTCCGTATTTGATCTGATCGGGGACACATCCGGCGAGCAGCACATACGGGCCATAAGTCAGTACGCGTGGGTCCAGGTCGGTCAAGATAGGTACGTCCTCTGCGCGCCAAACGGATCCTACATCCGACTTTTCAAAGTCGGTGCCCAACCCAAGACGAGTGACGACGAAAGCAAGGAGCAGCTCCTGTGGCAAGCCGTTGAAATCCGCTCGCTGCCCCCAGGCGTCGCCAAATCCCCCTACTCCGCGCCTCGCGAGCTCCTACAAGCAGCAACTTTCGCCGATGCGGTTCACGGTAGCGATAACTACGTTTCTAACTCGGATACATATCCTCACACATTCGTCCAGCGTTGGCAACGCTGGCGCAAGGGCCCGCCCACGCAGGGACAGCTCGATTTCCTCAACAAACTCCGGCTCAAGGAGGCGCCCCTGACTGCCGACGACGTAGACAAGGGCAAGGCGACGGACATGATTACCAAGATCAAGCACGGGGCCAAGGGTCGGTTCGCGAGCCTCAAGACGGAGAAGCGGCGCGTGCAGCGGTCTCACGATAAAAAGGCACAGTTGGAGGCGAGGGCACGGCAGGAAAGGGTCTCTGTTGGACCCGTTGCTTCTTGATTCGATATCATGTGGCTGTGAGGTTGGGTGTTGACCTATAGCTTCTACATGAGCTTGGGGCATGAATATTGTAAGACTACAGCCATCGAAGGCTATCGTCTGGGACTATGCCAGCATGCACGTGTAAATCAAATCATAGAGCCTTGCAAGGGAGAGTTTGCAAGATAGGAGAATTCTGTACAACATTCTTGACAACACCTGCAACTTGGGTAGCATCTGCTGAGACTGACCGACTAAGACGTCGAAGGTGTGAAGATACGTTCTAAAGGGTCGTTTCCAGTAGTACCTTGCTGGAGAATGGTCCTATTGCAAAGGGGGGGTAGAGAGGTCCGCCAGACGCTTGGCCGTGGATTTGGTCTCGAGGTACGACCGTAGCAACTATTCCTTACTAGTCGAACGCATCTCATCCATTCAAACATCGCCCCCCGTTGCCATCCAAGTTGGAGTGGGAATCTCACAGTTCCTACTGCCATCGACGATTACACATCACACAGGCAACGGACAGTGGTTTGAATGACCATGGGTATCGTTGCATTTCAAGGTCAAACTTAAAAAAGGCCTGCAGGTATCCATACAGTTCCGTCGTCATCTCCCGCT